GGGGGCGCATCATTGGGGGTGGTGGGGTGCCTAGCCTGAGGTTACACCAGGGCTGGACAAATCCAAGGAGCCGCCAGTTAGACCATACAGAACTCTGGGCTTTTTCTTAACCCCTGCAGTGAGGCTATCCTATCCTAAGGGTTAAGTGCTCATTTTTGTCTAGGTGCTAAAATAACAGTTATACTCACCTGAACCTCGGAGTGGGCCCCGCTATTACAGCGCTCCCTCCAGCCTGCCTCCTACACGGAAGCAAAGGTATGTCTCTCGGCATCCTTATGTCCAATACACCAGGAGTAGGCAACTCCGACTCAGAAGCCATTGTGGAACTACAAATCCCATGAGTCATTGCAAGAAAGAGTTACAGGCATAACTCGCAGATTCATGTTGGGATTTGTAGTTAAAGCACAGCTGGAGGGCCGGAGTTGCCCAAAAGGGGAGTTTATCAAAACTGGAGTAGACAAAATCTGGAGCAGTTGTGCATGGCAACCAATCGGCTTCTCTCTTTCATTATCAAATCTTAACTGAACAAACTGAAAAGAGAAGCTGATTGGTTGCCATGCACAACTGCTCTACATTTTGTCTGCTCCAAGTTTGATAAATTCCCCCATAGTGTATTGGATGTGATGACTCGGGGACCTTAGTGTGCTGCAGCAGAGGGGGAGAGAGGTTCCAGGGACCGGAGACGCAGGCAGCAATAGAAAATAGTAGGGGTTTTGCCCCTTCCACATTCTCCGTGAGCCAAATTAAACTTAACTACAGATGCACCTAAAAGCTGAAGTTTCATCTGCTTATATTGTACAAGGGTTTGGAATAAAAAAAAAAAAAATGGCCATCTACTTGCTCCCCCGTGGCCATCTACTTGCTCCCCCGTGGCCATCTACTTGTTGTGATACAAAAAAATATTTGAACCCAAACCATATTTAACCGCGCTAAGAAGCGCTTCTCATTGGTGACTGCGCTGACCAATGAGCGCTCACAATTTGAAGGACCATTTGCTGAAAGGCAATTATAGCGGGGAGGAGAGGGGGCCAGATTTGAGCAGGTAATTCAATTTTCCCAAATTACTTGGGAAAGTGAACTTGCCCTTTAATGCACATTGTGCGTGTTAGAGAGCCCTGCTGCCCGTCTACCACAATATGGCACACAGCGGAATGAGGGCAGCACTCGGCGCACACACAATGCCCTATTTGTGTGTTTATTCACATGCAGATGGCGGGGGCAGCGGGGTTGGTTTTACATTTTATTTTCTTACTCTTATTGTATTTAATTTTTATTTATTTTATTTTATTTTTTACTTTTTTTAACCTAACTTTATTGCTATCACACAGGGGCTAACGAGACCCTGTGTAATAGCATTCAGAGGTGACCGGTTCTCTTTATGGAGCTCCCTCTCCAATATAGAAGAT